CAAACTAGGTCTAGGGGTCCCATTCAACCCAGCTAGTCCCCTCTTCTGGGTATTTTCCCAGAAGATCTGAAAATGTCATATCACAGCGATACACGTGCATCCATGTTCATAGTGGTGCAATTTGTAATTGCTAAATTGTGGAAGCAACCCATGTCCATCAACTGAAAATTGGATGAAAAAACTGTGGTACTTTTATATAATGGAATATTACTCAGCTATAAAAAAATAAACTAGAGGCTTTTATAGGTAAGCAGTCACAACTAGAGACTATACTCATAAGTGAAATAAATCAGACCTGCGGGTGTAAGTAACATATTGTCTCACTTGTGTAAGAACCTGAAAGAATGAATAAAAATTAGGAGGTATGACAGACATTGTGAAAAGAAAGGAAAATGCTCACAAGTAAAGGGCAGCAGGAGTGCGGGAAAAGAGAAGGAAAAGAAGGGGAAATTATGTATGTATGTATATACAGGATAGCTAACATTGTTGTACTGCTGTCTTCTATTGCTTTACTGAAAGGAACAGTTAATGATTACTTCTTTGATTAATATTGCATATCTCTATTTATTTTCCCAGGAAACCACTTTGAAGATATCAATATGTAATACAACAACCATTGTTAATTTCCTACCACTTTGTCTATAACTCTGTATTTGTATTGTTCTTATGCTGTTTTGGTAAATGGATGTCTGTTTGTTAATATGTTTTCCTTCCTTTACTTTTAAAATAAACTTTAAAAAATTTAAAAAACTAAAAATCACCGCCCTCTGCAAACTCATGTGACAAAACCCACAGGACTGAGGAGGGAAATGAGGTGGGGACACCAAACACACACTCTTCATCAAGGACACTTTAAAAAAAACTAGAGTTCTAATAAAAACAACACAATTTTTATACATATTAAGTATTACAATAAATACGGCACTTTTAAAAAGATCTAAATTTGCTATGAAAGTAGGAGTCAGAAGGGTTGAAGTTTGCAAACTATCATAAAGCAGTAGAAGTAAGGTTGTCCGAAATCAGAAACCGTAACTGTAGTTGTGGATGGGCGCAACATATAACATGGGTGGTAAACGTGTAGTTGGAGGTGTTTGAGGTGCATGTGCATATGGTGTGTGTGTGTGTGTGTGTGCGCACTTTGTGAATTTTTATGTGGCTTGCTGATGGAGCAAATGGAAAACTTTGTGTTATGCTCTAACTGCTTCCTTATAAATCAATCATACTGCAATAAATTTGCATTTTCTAAATAAGCATTAGAACAAATCTGAGTATGCATCCACACAACGGAACAGTACACACTTACAAAAAGGAACGCACGATGGAAGCCTACAACAATATGGATAAATCTGTAAAGCACAATGATGAACTCATTAACCCTTAGGGAAAGAAACTACAAATTTCTTTCATTTCCACAATATTGAAAAAGTGAAATTCTCAAAGCAAGATTTAGATTACCAGGCGTGGTGCTGCACACTTGTAATCCCAGCACTCGGGAGGCTGAGGCAGGAGGACTGTTGAGAGTTCGAGGCCAGCCTGGGCTATAAAGTGAGCTCAAGGCCAGCCTGAACTGCGTAGCAAGACCCTGTCTCAAAAAGACAATAAATAAATAAATATATAAATAGTTGCCAAGAACTAAGGATCATGGAAGGTGACTGAAAAGGGGACACGAATTGTACACACAAAAAGGACCAAGTGAAATTGAATAATACTTTAATAAATCAGACTCCCTTCCTCCCACACACAACACGGAAGGCTGCAGAAAAATAAATCAAAATGAATTAAACAGAAAGTGACCCATGGATAAGATCTGAACACAGACAAGATTCTTAAAACCTCTTTATGCTTCCAGTTTTCTGCACCACGGGAGATCTTTTTAAATTTGTAATCCATTTACTACCCAACTCACTGGTAATTTCTCTCTCTCTCTCTCTCTCTCTCTCTCTCTCTCCCCCACCCCCACCCCATTTTTTGAGACAGGGTTTTGCTATGTACTTCATGCTGGCCTTGAACTCAGTACATAGCCCAGGCTGGCCTCAAACTCGTCGGGATCCTCCTGCCTCAGCTCGCAAGTGCAGTGATTGCAGGCATGTGCCACCATGCCCAGCACTGGTAATTTCTCTTTATACTCTTGTTCTCAGCTTTCTGTATGGTAAGAAATTTCTTTGCTCCTCTGTTTTCATCACAGAGGGGTTTCTTAAACTCTCCTACATCCGACATCAGTAACAAAGCTCAAAGTGCCGCAGAATGGTTCCTGCACTTCAGTAGCCCAGAGGGCTTGGATGGATGGATCTCAGATTTTCTGCTGGTTAACCCTCAGCTGTTTTATATTGTTTATTTTGAGACAAGATCTTGCTAATTGCTAAATAGCTCAGGCTGTTCTTGAACTTGAGCTCTTTCTTTCTCGGACCTTCCTGAGTGCTGGGATTACAGGCACACACCACAATACCTAGCTCAGATTTTTCTTGCTCCTCTTATTAAGAGCATGCAGGGTTAACAGGTAAAGCCTGGGGGCAGCAGACCTGAGAGAAAAATTCCAGAGATAAGTGGGGCCTTCCTCAGTCCAAAGCCAATCCTCCATAGGCACCAGGAGTGTTTCATTTCCCTGCAGTCTCAGCTACTCCATGCTAAGGAAGGAGGATCACAAATTTGAGGCAAACAGCAGATTAGACAGGATAGAAGCAAGGATCAGGAAAGTTGAATATGGATCAATAGAAAAAATCTAAACTAAAACACAAAAAGAAAAAAACTGTTAAAAATTAAAAAAACACATCCAAGGTAGGCAGAAAATTGCTGTATTAAAGGAACATGCATGAGAGCCAGGTGTGGAGGTGCACTCCTGTGATCCCAGCACTAGAGAGGCTGAGGCAGGAGGATCATTGTGAGTTTGAAGCTAGCCTGGCCTACATAGTGAGTTTAAAACCAGCCTGAACTACACAGTGAGATCCTGTCGCAAAAAAAAAAAAAAAAAAAGAGAGTAACAAACATAAGCTTGGAATCCCAGAGAGAGAAAATGAGGGAGAAAAAATATTTTAAATCATGAGTTATGAGAGACATCACTACTAATCCAAAATTCTCAGGCATCCACGTAAGACAAACACAAAGAAAATGATAAGACACAACATAATCAACTGCATAATCTTGAAAACTCAAGAGTGAGTTTTAAAAGCTGCTAGAGGTAAAGCGACCTAGTACATGGAGGGAGGCAGCAGTACAAACGCTGGATATCATTTTCCAGGAATAGGGGCAGACAGCATAGTGACATCTTTAAAGCCAAACTCAAACTGTGTATCTAGCAAAAATAACCTGTAAGAATGAAGACAGAACAAGGATATTTTCACACTATAAACATTGCTAACAGAAAGCTCTTAAGGTTTAAGGACAATAATATCAGACAGAATGCTAGATCTGCACGAAGTAAAGAGAACTAGAAAGGATAACTAGCTAGGAAAGTATAAAACGTTCTATTTGAACATCTTTCTGTTAGATACTATTATATACTATCTATTCTTTAAGCAACATAGTGTGCTGTACCAGACATACCATTTTTAAAAGTAAACATAATACAACAAAAGTACAAACCATGGGATGGGGAAAACAGATGTATACGGTGGAAGAATCTCCTATTATTTATAAAGTTGTGTAAAATTAAAGAAGATAATGCGATACTAAAATACATATTCAATTTACGGAAAAGAGAAAGCGTAAAACTTTTAAAAACAAACACGAACAACTCTCAGAATAACGATGCCAACTCTAAGAAATCAGGCCAGAAAAAAAAAAAATACATGCGACATGATCTCACGTGTACAACACGTACAGCATCACGTGCACGACCACAACGTGTCGCCGGGCGGCAGGGACGGACGCTGGGTCCCATGGCGACGCTGCGGGGCATCGCGTGGCGACACACGGCGGGCACGGTTGGGCACCAGCTCCCGCTCAGCCGGTTTCGACCAGGCGAAGCGGCTGCTGTCCGCCGTGCCTGGCACATCAAGACCACCCTGAGACCCTTTTTCCAACACACCAGCATTCCCAACAGTCACCACCTCCCCCCATGAGGTCTATGCCCAGCGACGCACCTGCCGCACGGCCCAGCTCCCTCGATGTGCTGGCCGGGTCCTCCAAGCTTCGCGCCTGCGAGGGCCTGTGCAGATGTCTAGCCCGGCTCCCCGCTGCAGACCTCGGCCCCGCAGGCCTCCTCCGCAGCCAGCGCCGGGCGCCTGGATCTCGCCCTCCTCCGCAGCTCCTTCCGCGCCTCCACTGCCCACCGCCCACGTGCCCCCCCACC